TATATATTGCATGTGTTTTATTGCTTTATAATGAGTTCATTTGTGCATGAGTTAAACAGATCCAATGTAAGTGTTCCTTTGTACTCCTTCAAACTTAAGTTGTTGTTTAGATTTCCAACTCGCATACTCGTACATTCAATGTACTGATGCCAGTTGGCCTGCATCTTATTATGATGCAGACACAGGTAACCAGGATCAACATCCAGCACATTGTTGATCCAGTTGAGCACTCCAGAGTCAGTGATGAGCCTCCTTGCATTCCAGAGGTACTCTGTTATTTCGTCTTTCCTAGTTTTGCTTTATTAGGATGTTGTGGGGTCTGTCCCAACATCCATCTCAGTATTATAAAGGCTTCATAGACAGTCAGACAGTTAGTATTGAGTATCTCATCTATGTATTTGCAGATACTTTGTTTTGAGACATAAGTTACCATTTTGGCTAAGATGTTATCATTTAAACTATTGCATTGAGTTTATTCTGTTGATTTAAGTCTTCCGCTGAGTTAAGTAAGCCAGGCCAAGGGTCTGCTTAGGGCCAGCGATGGTCTCCGAGTGCCGGCCACGTCTAGGGTGTAGGCTCGGGGCGTGACATGGATCCTTCGTTGTCCTTCCGTATTTAGCTAATAAGTTTGCTATTATTAGCCTCCCTCGGGATGGGCATCAGATATGATCCTTACAACTTGATTAGCGACCTGCAATCCGTGTAGATATTAGTGTGTATGAAGAAGAAGGAATTAAACAATTCATGAAAGAGATAGTACCAATCACTCGTGAGAGGAATTAGGTTTCTGTATGATGAATTGTAAGCAATAACATAGATAACACAATATTTTTCATGGAAAACTTCCTTGCTCAAGAGAATAAAAACCACGACCTACATTGCGTAGGATTTCAACAATCAAATTTCACTAAATTCAAGAGCGATTTCAGATTACAAAGGATTATCTAAAGGAAAGTCTCCAAGAAGATTAATTTTCTTCTTGTCACGAACCTCACAAGTTCAATTACTCGATCATTTCAATTTAGGATTTATTATAATTCAATAACAACCCTAGAACAATATCAATTACATCAGAAAGAAAACACACTTCACTTTGTTATAGTGTTGAACTTGATTCTTCAGTATCTTTGTCTATCATCAAAACTTCATATTTCTGAATTTGTGCATTCCATCAATTCAAAATACCAAACCTGAATACTGCAAGTTCAAATCATTTCCTTTTTGTTTCCTCTGAGATAAGGAAAACAGGCGCAACCCCTGTATGAAAAATAATAATTAAAACATAATTTAATTGAATACAAGTGCAACATTTGAAGTTGTAACAAAATTACTTTGAATCTGCAGAAATGGAATGTTGGTTTGATTCCTTGAACAACAAAAAGTCCATCTTCATTTATGTCGCAGATGACTTTCGCATATTTTACTAAGTGAATTGGAAGAAAGTAATATCCTGTATAAACACCATCAATATAAATCATTAACAACGTAGACGATACAAATTCTTCTTCATCATCATCATTAAGAATCGTAGCGTCTCCATGGATGGTATTCTTGGAATTCAATTACTTCCATCCACCATTTGCTTCAATTCTGATAATGCTATGAAATCTGTCGGGTCGAGCCGGAGGAACCCAAACTCTAATTTCAATATCATGGTTGCACTTTTTTTCATTCTTGTTGTTGAAGCAGCTACTCAGCATATTTACAAGGCAAAGAAAAGACAAAGAGTAAGTTGAAAATTTTGCTCTTGCATATCTTTAATTTGCTTTTATACTTTTTGTACGTACAACAGTACTCACTTTAACTAATTTGATGCTTTAATTTCCTTCACTAATTCCTTGGTCAACAAGCAACAAATATGGAAGAATTAAAGCTTGATTATAGGGGTGGCAATTTCAATCCATTTTAACTCAATCCATCCAAATTCGATCCAAACCATCCATTTGCCACCCCTAAGCTTGAACAAGAAAAGAGAATGAGAAAGGATTCTCTTAAAGTTGAGGAAATTACAACGACATCACATGAGATTCATCAAGTAAGGATACATCATATGGTTATTAAGCATATATACTATTAACGTAAAATGACAACCTTTATATTGTTAGGATTTGAAACTTTTAGAGAAGAAAATAAGGTTCAGCAGCAGAAACTTTCATTCATATTCAGCTTTTGAAAGCATACACACATATATCTACATAAGCTTTTCCAAAGTTAGTAGAGGACCATACATATCCAACCACTATTGACTTTCTTACAAAACATATTTCATAAAACAAGGACTACCTTTCCTTTACATACTTAACATAATATTTAAGAAAATAACAATTAAACAAAAGA